GTTTTTTATAAAAAAAAAAAAAAAAAAAAAAAAGATTTTGCTGAGATCTGCACTGTACATATTTCCTAAGAAGCAAGCTGGAAAATCATCTGTGGCCCTGGATGCTTTTTCTGCATGGACCACCCATAATGAACAAACTCGTGATGTTTAGAGTTATAAGGAACCTCTTTAGTCAGATTTGTAAACTGACTAAACTGACCAGTTTTTTAGTTTAGCCCCCCTTAGTTTGAGGAAACTGCCAGGAAGTTAAACTGTCTACCCTAGCATCATTTGCAAATCCTCAAAGTGTTTTTTGCAGTATCAGTTCCCTTCCCTGTAACTGCTGTTTGTAACCAGGGCCAAATGACAAAAGCGAAAGTGAAAATATGGCTACAAGAATGACTGAAAATTAGGCTGAAAATTAGTAGCAGGACATAAAAAGTAGTGGCATCAGGAAAGGTAACATTCTTCATTTTTTTTTCCCAGGCTGAGTAAGCCCAAGGAAACAGGACTTTGGGCCCATATGTAATCAAATAGGCCAGTGACAAAGAGATTCTTGACAGAAACCTTATGAACTGTAATAGCTTGGCTTAGCTGAAGAAAGTATTTCTGTGAGTGCTATTTTCACAACTTGGACTTATATTTGCTCTGGAAGTGAATTATGCTCCCATCAACTGCCCTGATCCCTTATGCTTCTCCTGAATTCATGTGTTATATTGGGAAGTTTGAAAGACCTTCCAAAGACAGGGCAGTCTTGGTGCTCTCTGAGCAGGTTTTGTGCTGGCATGCACAGCCCTTATTAATCCAAGCTTTTAACTGTGACCTGCTCTTAATAATCATTGGCCATGAGTCAATCAAGGGATGCCACGATATAGCTCCTGCTTTGAGAAATGCAAAAGTTTGACAGTTATAAACACTTCACTACATTTTGCACACATTTTATTAGACAAAATAAATACTTCCAGGCAGTTGACACCATCCTGATCCTCAGCAGACTCTAGCCCTTTCATGAGATGGTCAAAGCATCTGGGAAACTGGGTCCAAATTCCTGTTTTTTTCCCATGTCCCATACACTACACTTAAGCACTGGCGTGCATGTCCTGGCTCTTTCATATTTTCACTTCTTCTTCCTTCTGCCTCTTGCACTGACTCTTCCTTCCTTGCCCCTGTGCAGAGAGCAGCTGGATGCAAAAAGCAGGGTACATTTGACTTCCTCAACCCTTTTGATCATTTTTCTGCTATGAGATTGTGAAACATAGAGTCATGCCCAGGACACATTGAGCAAAAAAGACCTACCAAGAAGAGTATTGGACCACTGGGGAATGGAGTTTTGGGGGTTGTCGAGCATGGTTGAGGCTAAGCTGTAGGGAGTGGGGAAAGGTAGATGCATTTAATTTCTTCAGGTCAGTCCATGTAATGGAATTAGGTTGAGGCATAGTCTGGATGAGGAAGTGTTTCCAGTTCTGTCTCAAGCTGCAAGAGTCATTAGGTCCCCAGAAGGATTATTTGCACATCCCAGAGTGACAGAGATTATTCTATTCACATGATCCCTTTCCCTGGCAGAGGAAAATGTCCTTGGAGTAGAAATCCAAAGCCTGTACTAATCCTCCTGTACTAATTGGAAGAGTTGGTGCTGTGTCACTGCCATGCAAGGCATTTTATGCCCAAGCAGAAATCCTTATCTGCACAAACTAAGGTCTATTAGTCTGTGTTAGTCTATGCTAGTCTTGGAAGGACTCAACAGAACCTGCACTACTAGTATTAAACAGAGCACAGGAGGGATGATGTTCTTCTCCCAAACCTTTCCACTGTTGAATGCTGGTTCCTGCGCCCTGGATCTCATTGTTATGACCTCAGCTACCACTCATGATGCTCCAAAATATTCGTATTCCTTCGTTTGCACCCGCTAACTTCTCTCTAGCCTTTGGTCCTGCTCCTGCCTTCGGAAGGATGAGCCCTTGTTCCTGCTCCCAGATAGCAGCCTAACTTCTTTCCAGCTCTGTCAGCACCCTATTTATCTAAGCCTTATTTTCCTAAGCCTTAGCCTACCCTCTTGGCATGCTTCAGCTTTTTTCTCTAGCTTGGCAGACCTCTGTCACAACTTGGTCCAACTTCTGGTCATTCATTTCCTTCCCATGGCACTGAGACACTTCTCCTGACCATGCTCCATTAGCAATGTCACCCTATTCTGTTGACAGTAGCTGTACTCAGAGATACTCAGTCCTGTATCTCACCTTCATTCTTCTATATCTAACCCTCTCCTGACTGTTTCCTGTAGTTTGGACAACCCACTCCAATGTCTGCCTATCAAAGGAATCTGATGAGCTAGGATCAAGGCACTGAACTTTCAGACAGATGAATTTAGCTGCCTATAAGTAAGAAAGGGAGCAAACCGATTTGCTTGAATTGGTAAATAACTTAATGCTTGACTGATACTACTTCTACCAATTGAATAAACAGATGCTGAGCTTATTTTTTTCCTGCAAACTCTGATTTTCAGACAATGGAAAAGGTTTGTTTGAAGAGAATCATTTTCTCTTTGTTAGTGTGAAATGTCATGAATTACAAAACTCTCTAAGGAGAATCTCTTTCTATGGACTTTATTTAAGCTGGGATCTTCTCTTGTTCACTTCTACTTTGGCCAGACTTTCCATGGGAGATAAAGGGTCCAAGTAGGATCCTGTTGGGAATGTGGCGAGAGCCATGGCACTCGGTGTCTGGTTTGCAGGACACAGAATGGGAAAAATAGGGGTCAGTCCAGATAGATGTGGATAGGATACTAGAGGCTGCCTGGAGGACCAGACAGGGATTACCTTTCTGAGAAGACCTTGTTCTGAGACCCAGGGCCTCGTGGTGTTGTGTGTGGCCATGTGGGGAGCTGGAAATCAAAGAGGTTCAGTGCTAGGGGGTAGAGCTGACGAGACTTTTTCATTCTGCAAGAGAAGATGCTGCTGCTGTGCTCTGCTGGCTTCACAGAAGTCTTTACCGCTCACTGGCATCTTGGGAGAGCTTTCCTTCATCAACAGGTGTGGCTACCTAAGCCTCAGATGATGTTCTGGTGTTGTCCATCCCTTCTACACGTGCTTTGTCTGCGAAATGAAGGAGCAGGGTGATGCACAGAGGACACTGGTGCCAGGTGCCTGGTACCTCAGGCACAACAAGGAACTTCCATGCTGGCTACGAGCACAGGAAGCCTGGCTACATTCTTTGGGAAGACCAAGTCCGTGACACACATTGATCTTTCTCTTACCCAGGGAGAATCTAGCCCATCTTCCACATCTTATCCACAGATACAGGACCATCAGGATGCCACAGAGCGTTGCCACCACGCCAAGCACACCTGCCAGCATTAAGCAGGACTCTGTAAGGTCTGTGGAAAGAGCAACACTCAGAGAGATTGTGGTGGATGGCTTGTCACCCTCCACCTTTCAGAAAGTTTTCCCAAGGAGAGCATGAACTCCATGCTCCCTGAGATGCCTTCTCCTAATTAACTCTACTCTGTTGCCTAAAATTGCTTTTTTCAGAATGCCCATGTCCTGTCTACCTAATGCTTCCTACCAAAAAGGCTTCCGATAATGTTTCCCCCTTCCTGGGAGGGATCCTTGGAAGGAGATAGATACGATTCTTTACCCCATGTCTTCTCAGTGTGGTGTCTGAGCTTCTCTTGGAAACTCGTTGGCCACTGGTGCAAACACAGCAGTGCTGGTGCTCCTCAAAGCATGTAGAAACTGGGTGGAGGTTCCCAGAACTCACCTATAAGCTCAGCACACACGACACCAGCTGCAGAGCCATGTTTACACACCCTCAGTTCCATCTTCTTCTGCTGGCAAGCCAAGAGGAACGGCTCTGTGCCCCGGCAGTTCAGCCCTTCCAGCAATGCTAGGCCTTTCTCCTGGCCAAACTGAGATCCGATGGGTGCAGACCGTGCCGGTCCACAGCCCAGCTGCGTGCAAACCACAATTGCTTCCAGTAAGCTCCAACTGGTGTCACACACGCCGTACCACGTAGCGTTGTACAGCACCTCCACGCGCCCCGCACAGGAGCTTGGGCCATCCTTCAGTCGCAGCTCTTGCAAGCCTGCAATGAAAACCACAAGGTCTGAGGAGGCCTCCTTGGCAGCACTGGGACAGAGAGCCTAGTGGGTCAATGACTTATGCACCTTTTTAGCACAGAAATGACCCTTATATGTCAGTTTTGTGTCTCAGTGCCCACTGCACAGCCAGCAACAGCCCACATACAACACCTGGGCCTACATGACTTAGCACTCCTGAATTCTTGCTCACACTCCATGAGAGAGTCATCTTGGCATTTAGGGAGGGATATTCTCTGTCTTTCTCTAAGCTGTTTTTCTTTGCTGAATGCAAAGAAGTCCAGTTCCAGCTGATCATTAGCCTCAACTAATCAGGGGAACCTTCTTTCTTTGCTCTGGATACTGAGAGTTGAAGAGGATCCTGTTAAAAGCCTAAGACACTCTCAGCAAAGGCAAAAAGAAAATTAACAATTCAAGCCAGATAAAATAAGTAACTTGGATGTGGAAAATACCAGCAGTGACAATATTTGGTTATTGGATCAGTTTCCCGTGGGTGTGATGGCCAGTCAACAACTTAAAACCTAGGCTGGATATATGTCTAAAAAACCTATTCAAAAACTACCATGAACTAAAAAAATTGCTACCAGCTGAGCCAAAAAACGACTACATGAGGCTCCCAGCCTGTTACATGCTGAAGGCATGGCTAAAAGTCAGGAACGTTCGGCAGGTCCTAAAAACGCTCAGCTATTGATCTGACCTGCATTTAATCCCAGCCAGGGCATGACAATGCTGGTGGCTCTCTTCTGGGCCGGGTCTGCATCATCCTGCCCCAGACAGGATGCACCACAGCATCTGAAATGGCAGGACATCTACACCTGGGTAGTTAAAGACTATCGAAACTAGAAGTTCATTTCTTCCAACCCCAAATCAACTTCTTTGTTGTAATTTCCCATACTGGTTCCTGCAGCACCTGCAGGGTTACCTGAGCACACCACGCCAGCATCTTCTTCATGGCCACAATTATGTTCTCCCCACCCTCTCAGACTACACTCTGTGAAGGTGGATTCAGTTCCTCTGCAGTCAATGCTGTCCAGCCATATGGGGCCTAATCCTTTTCCAAAATGAGCTGAATCCAAGGCTGACAGAGCCGTCCCACATCCCAGCTCCTTGCACACAACTGAAGCATCGTTTAGGTCCCAGGTGTCATCGCATATGGTTCCCCATCGCTGGTTGTGAAGAACCTCAACTCGCCCAGAGCAGTTGTTGGATCCATTCACCAGCCTGAGCATTGATTGCCCCGAAGTGTCCAACTCTGTAACAAGAAACAGACATGAGTTCATACATTGTCATTGGCTATGGCTCCAGTCAGGCTTGGAAATGTATTAAGCCACAGGAAAATGACAACATCCATTTGGATGTGCAGCCCCCAGCTGCTGGAGAAATGTGTGAAAAGAGATCCTGTTGCTGGCTACATTGCCAGAGATGGCTTGGGATTTTCCATTCATCAGCTCAGATAGGAAGGGATCACAACTCCAGAGCTTGGGTTGCCTGACAAAGGGTACTGGGGTCAATAGTGGTAGGAACCATTGCCTGCCAAAATGTAGGTAGAACTATCAGAAAGGGAGACCTCTTAGGACAAGAGGAAATGGCCTCAAGATGTGGCAGGGAAGGTTCAGGTTAGATAGTAGGAAAAAAAATTATTCACAGAAAGAGCAGTGTTGGAACAGGCTGCCCAAAGAAGTGGTGGAGTCACCATCCCTGGCAGCATTCAAGACACATGTAGATGAGGCACTTAGCAGACATGGTGGTGACAAGTTTATGGTTGGACTTAGAAGTCTTTTCCAACCATAATGATTCTATGATTCTATGATTTTAGAAGGGAGACCAGGCACTCTGTCTCGTTTTGCACAAAATCACACTAGCAACATGCTGAAATCTTGCCGTCTACACTGTGGCATTCATGTCATTCTCTGAAAGAGTTTTTACCAGGGTGTGGAAAAGGCACCAATCCCTGACTGGCATAAAGCGTTTGTGTTGATACTACACCCAACCTTCATGGTACTTAGACAGTTGAATATGGGTCACCTGAGCACACCACACCAGCATCCTCCTTATGTTCACAGTCATTGGATCCCCAACGCCCGGAGTGGCATTGAGAAAGGGCAGTTTCTGCCCCTGTGCAGTTCACATCATCCAGCCAGACACGGCCAACCCCTTGTCCAAAGTGGGCCAAGCCAGGGGCTGAAAGTGCTGTCCCACAGCCCAGCTGCCGGCACACCACGGTGGCTTCGGTTAAACTCCAGCTGTCATCACACACTGTTCCCCAAATGTAGTTGTGAAGCACCTCCACTCTCCCAGAGCATCGACCTGAGCCGTTCACCAGGCGCAATTCAGGCAACACTTCAGCGGCTGCATCTGTTGATGGCACAAGGAGGAAGAGACCAAGGGTAACACTAGACCAAATATCCCACAAACGAATCTGCAATGACCTCAGTAACCACATCCACAATAGCTATGAGAAAGCTCC